GGAGAAATGGGCATTTTTGGCCAAAATTTAGCTGTCGTCATTTGTGAACAGTCTCTAACCCCCGACGTCTGTGGTATAGCGGTTAGGTGTTCGACTGTGACACACAGAGTACTTCTCCTAAATTATCCAAGTTGCGCTGCCAGAGCTATCATTTTTTTCCCTTGTTGAATTTTTAAATTAAACAATTTCAATTATTTTATTTTTTCCATATTGTTTTATTTAATCTATTAATTTTAATCGATTAGTTAATTAGTTATTTAATAATTAATTAATTATTTTTCAAATAATCTCCTCTGGGCTCCTGATTCTTTCTTCCGCCTTTCTACTGCTTCTCCAGGGCTCCTCCTTACTGTTGTCTTTCAGCCGCACACCTGATCTTATGGCAGGTACGATCTTCACCTAGCCTTCTCGGACAAGGGCCAAAAATCCAGGAGGTCCCATGTACAAGTTGAGCAAGTTAAATTAAAGATCCCTTGGCGGTCCAAAATCGATAAAAGTAGGCTTCAGCTGCCACCTGGTCAAAATTTAAAAAAGTCCCACCAATTGAAAATGATTGGTGTGTTCAGCGAGCTCATATAATGTATAATTTATACACTAGTAGTTGTATAATATTAAGGAGCACAGATATAAAACTAAACTGAACAATAACGGTTTCTAACTAGGAAAGTGAAAGCAACATTTCAGTAGTAGAGATCTACTGTGTCGAAAAAAAAATCTAGCCCAATAAGTACGGTTTGGGGTCGAAGAGTGGGGTGGGGAGGGGGTGGGGTGAGTGGCCTCTAACTATAATATGTATTTCATCCCCCCCCCCCCAAAAAAAAAAAAATTAAAAAAAATAAAACACATAAAAACAACACATGCTTCCTCACATGCATACTGCAACACATATTCAGTAGAGCGTGCACCCATGTCTGGCAAACCTGTTTCCGCGCAGTTTTATCACCCCCCCCTTTCTCTAAAAAAGGACAAAGTATTCGTTTCGGACCTTGCTACATCTCAGGCAATTTTCTGTAAATAGGACAGCTTGGCCTTAACAGGAAACGTCTTTAAAACTACTCTCCTTTAACCACCACAGACCAGAGGCGGTGACTCTGTTGTTCAGGGGATTGGGTTTGCTGCAACCAGATATGAGGTCGCTCAGATTATAGTGAATAAACTTATAATGACTGAAAAGCCAGTCAAACCCGCACGTAAAAAGAGAACTTGCTGATTGGGTCAACGCTTTTACAAATTTGTTAGAGGCAATACCACGTTAGAAGCAAGGGTAAGATAACAACAAAAACAATATCAACAACAACAATAACACAATAACAACAACATTAATAACAACAACAACAATAACAACAACAACAACAACAACAGCCTTTACCACCACACCAACAACACCAGCAATAATAGCAACAGCAACATCAACATCAATACTACTACTACTACTACTACTACTACTACTACTACTACTACTACTACTACTACTACTACTACTACTACTACTACTACTACTACTACTACTACTACTGCTACTGCTACTGCTGCTGCTGCTGCTGCTGCTGCTGCTGCTGCTGCTGCTGCTGCTGCTGCTGCTGCTGCTACTACTACTACGCTGATGATGAAGATGATGGTGATGTGGTTTGCTTTTTCTTTCCCATAAAAATCTATTGTCCTCATCTCTTCTCCATTCTGTGGGGTTGTTAGATACTCTCTGTTAACACTTTTAATCTTCGGCACTTATATAACTGAACAATGTTGCAAGTGCCATAAAATTCGCACTACTGCAAAGTTAAAAAGCTAGAAGGGGCGTTAGTTGTAAGCTCCACATTATCAGATTTTACTCTCACAGGTGAATTATGTCCCCCCCCCCCCAATGGACACACACACACACACACACACACACACACACACACACACACACACACACACACACACACACACACACACACACACACACACACACACACACACACGACACACTTGTTATGAGTATTTTCGCTATTCACTTTGAAATGTGGATATTTTCCTTTATTTCTAAGGATAGCTTTGTTGTATATCTTTAAAAGATCTATTTGACATTTGGGTTAGTTCTTAACATTTCTTTCAGTCTCATCTGCATTTTATATATTAGTATTACTCGTACACGGCCATTATCACAATCTGCTTCTGGCAATGGTTTAGATAATTCTATGGCATTTTTAAAAAAGTGTTTGAATTAGTGTGTGACGTCGGCAGTCTAGTGGTTGGACTCCCCGACTCGTCGTAATCATGTGGTTGTGATTTGAGGTAATCCAGTTGCAGGCCCGACGTTGTGTTGTAGGGAAAGGCACTTTACACGAATTTTCCTCACTTCACCCAGGTGGGACAGTGAAAGATCTTATCTTGTTAGTATGCCAGTGTTTTAGCGCCTGTAAATGGCTGCTTGCACTCTTGGAAGTTGAGGTTGTTTCAGAATGCTATTACGTTGGTCTGCTGGGGTAATAGTACAGATTGTGAAGGGCATAGAGCTTGCTGTTGAGCTGGCATTTGCATTATGCAAATGTTATCTATTCATCTATCTATCTATTATTATTATCGTTATCATTATGATGATGATGATGATGATGATGATGATTACTATTGTTATTTTTTGGTTTCTAGTTCAATCTGTAGAAATCTCCGGAGTGTATTGTCTTCCTGGGCGATTTTCAAATCAGGTGTTTGAAATCATGAATTAATTAGGCCTACTTTCTCTGCACTATTGTATGACTCGTTCGCTGCGTTTATTCTCTTTACCCCACGACTCTACTGATATCTCCCCCCCCCCCCCCCCCCCTTTATCTCTTACTTTCGCGTTGCATTTTAACTTCCCCATGACTACCTTTATAACCCATGCTTACATTGCTTCATTGCCTAAAACATGTCTACTTCCTCCGTGCCAGGCTCGCTAATGTTTGTGCATACAATTGGATGACATCATATCAAAATGTTTCGTGTTTAATTCAGATGGCTCTGTCTGAAACTCCTCCAAAACCTTTGAATCTCCCTGCTGTTGCTACATCAGATAAAATTCCTTGTCTTTTTACCTACAACTGCGGCTACTAACGTCCATCTCTGGGGGCAATTCCCCTACCCCCTACCCGGGGACGCGCTTGGTAGTGTATGGTGACCCATACTATTCTTTATTACCTTGGATAATCCTTTCATTATGCACAGATTTAGTTAGGTAGCCTACTTGTTTTAAATGCAAAGAATGTACGTGTATAAGAAAATAATTCGAGACATGAAAATCTTTAATCTTTTTGCTATGAGTGTGCTTCGCTACCTGCGTATTCACTATGTGCGTGCAAGATTGTAGTTCTAACTCTCAATCTTTTCTTTTCTTTAGGGCAAGCCGTTTTTCTCTTAGCTTTGATGAAATGTGATTGACAAAACAGAGACATTTAAATTACAGCTAAGAATAAAATCAAATTTGAATCACTTGTAAACAAGTAAAAATATTATTGCATTGTGCAGATACTATTCAATCTCTCCCCCCACCCCCGTAAAAAAGGGAATACTGATTTTAAAAAAAATTAAAATTAACGATTAAACATTACATCAACACACAGACACATTTTACACGTTGCCCCTGGCTGTAATTTACGCAACGTATTCAAAATATAAATCAGCAATGCATGCTATCTTTTTCACTCCACGAAATCTCTAGACAGGAGCTTCTTTTATTCAACGGAGTCTTGTGATAGAGGATTTTTTCCCCGCTGTATTTTTCTTTCTTTGGGTTGATTCAACTATGTTTATTACTAGCTAAGACTCGTGATCAGCGGTCCAACATTTTACGGTAACAGCAGGTTCCCGATTATTGAAACTTAGGAATCGTATTAATCGAGTCTGATGAACCCAGTTACTCTCTAATTACATAGTTTAGCCTATTGTTGGAGGTTCATATCTAACGGTGGTTCCGACCCTAATGCTGTGTTCACACATACCGGAGTAATGAAGCTGAGTAAGACACAATTTCTAAGTCCAGCAGGTCGAGGCTACTCTGGATGCATTTCGCTGAGCAATCAGCCTCCCTCATCGAGCGATATTTCATGCTCGCCGTGTGAAATTATTACACAGGAAGCTTGCCGAAATGATCGAACATGCTTACAATTTCCATCGAGCTAAGAATGGGGGTCAGAAATAGCTCTGCGTGTAAAGATGCATACGTTGCCGAGTGACAGTGACACGCCAATGAGTGTTTGAGCGCTTAATCATCTGCTTGCACTGTATGCTTCCCGGGAAGCTGAGAATGTTTCGGAGTGTTCTATGGTCTGCTGGGGTAATAATATAGTGTAAAGCGCATAGAGCCTGCTGTTGAGCGGGGATATGCGCTATACAAATGCTATTTATTATTATTATTAATGAGACCTAAATGAATGGTAGCCGAGTTAAATTTCATACTCTTCGGGTCAAATTATTGCTCGACGTGCACGATTAAACCCGAATTTGGCATTATCTTATCGGGAATTCGTCGACTCTTCTCCTGTGTGTGTGAACACCGCATTAGACTATGGCAATTACTTCCAGTGAGTAGCAATTACTTTTATGGAGTCCGACTCTTGGACTTCTACATGATATCTCCCGGTGAATAGTAATTACACAGCCAGTAGAAATCACTCGGCGAGTGACAATTATCTGTGGAGACAAGCAATTCGTTTCAATGGGTCCAATATCTGGCTAGTTAGTTGTTACCTGGTGTGCTCTGAACATTTTCAGGATTCAGGATAACCTCAATTTCGGAACAATAAATAAAGTAATTGGCAACCTTTGGTTTACCTAAACAGGAGTCGGAACTTTCCATCTGTAGCCCTAGTCGCAGGAATCGGTTCAGGAATCGATTCTTTGCCCAGCTCTACCTGAGACCTGCAAGCTCGCTGCATATTTGGCATTCAAAACGCAAATCATTTACCGACCTTCGGTGTGCGAGTGCGGACGCTGTGCATCATCCTGTTTGTTTCCCCCGGTGTTGTAAAACGTTTGACTTTGTTTGGTTGAAGAAGTGCAACAGTCGTCGACGCGACAAGGAACAACTTGGTTGCTTCCATACGCTTTTACCTCAAACATGGAAGACTGCATACCCGGCGTTTGGGTTCTCGCAGCTACTGTTGCAGTGCTGTTTGTTCTTTACCTCGTTTCTAAACTGTCCGGCTTCGGAAGAGGTACCCCGCCGCCGGGACCTCGGGGCTGGACGGGTTTCAAGGAGATCATGAAAGCCACCCTCGACGATAGACTCTATGAAGCGGCCTGGACATGGGCGGAGAAGTACGGGGACATGACGTACTACAACGTCCTAGGTCAGAAGGTCTGCGTGCTCAACTCGGCGGAGATTAATCGGAGGCTGTGCCGGTCAGAGGAGTACAAAATGCTCACGTGTGACCGAATGCCCAACGTGGTGTCGGAGCTGGCGTGGTACAACGGGAAAGAGCTCTTTTTCACGCCTTACGACTCCACTATGAAACAGAAAAGAATCCTGTTCTTCAAACTAATGGGACTCTACGGCGAGGGTGTGGACAAATTCGAAAATGTCGTGGGGAAAGAGCTGAATCGTTTACTAGGTGAGCTCGATAAAGCCAAAGGACAGGACGTACCTATTCATCAAATGTTGGCACGATCCCTCAAGGTCATTTTGTTCCTTCTGGTAAGTCAATGATGATGATGAAGATCGTTTTTATTAAAGATAATAATGATAATAATATGGTGA